TTTCAACAACATAAATGATGACTATACACATGAACCTTGCCGGATGGACTACACAGAAATCAAATCGACTACATCTGTGGAAAGAGATGCTGGAAAATCTCAATATCATCAGTCAGAACAAGGCCAGGGGCCTACTGTGGAACAGACCATCAACTGCTCATATGCAAGTTCAGGTTGAAGGTGAAGAAAATTAAAACAAGTCCCTGAGAGCCAAAGTACAACCTTGAGTATATCCCACCTGAATTTAGAGACCATCTCAAGAACAGATTTGATGGGTTGAACACTAAGACGAGTTGTGGAATGACATCAAGGACGTCATACATAAAGAAAGCAAGAGATCATCAAAAAGACAGGAAAGAAAGAAAGGACCAATATGGATGTCAGAAGAGACTCTGCAACTTGCTGTAGAACATCAGGTAGCTAAAGCCAAAGGAAGGGATGATGAAGTAAAAGAGCTGAACAGAAGATTTCAAAGGGCACCTCGAGAACACAAAGTAAAGTATTATAATGACATGTGCAAAGACCTGGAGATAGGAAACCAAAAGGGAAGAACACGTTTGGCATTTCTCAAGCTAAAAGAACTGTAGAAAAAATCCAAGCCTTGACTTGAAGGCTTCTGTGGGGAAAATATTGAATGACACAAGAAGCATCAAAAGAAGATGGAAGGAATACAGAGTCACTGTACCAAAAAGAATTGGTCAACGTTCAACCATTTCAGGATGTAGTATATGATCAAGAACTGATGGTGCTTGAAGGAAGAAGTCCAAGCTGCACTGAAGACATTGACGGAATACAAATTGAGATGCTTCAACAAACGGATGCAGCGTTGGAAGTGCTCACTCATCTATGCCAAGAAATTTTGAAAACAGCTACCTGGCCAACTGACTGGAAGAGATCCATATTTATGCCTATTCCCAAGAAAGTGATCCAACCAAATGTGGAAATCATTGAACAATACCATTAATAACACACACAAGGAAAATTTTACTGAAGATCACTCAAAAGCAGCTGCAGCAGTATATCAACAGGGAACTGCCAGAAATTCAAGCTGGATTCAGAAGAGGATGTGGAACCAGGGATATCATTGCTGATGTCAAATGGATCCTGGCTGAGGGCAGAGAATACCAGAAAGTTGTTTACCCGTGTTTTACTGACAAAGCAAAGGCATTTGACTGTGTGCATCGTAACAAATTATGGATAACTTTGTGAAGAATGGGAATTTCAGAACACTTAATTGTGCTCATGAGGAATCTGTACGTACATCAAGAGTCAGTCATTTGAACAGAACAAGGGGATACTGTGTGGTTTAAAGTCAGGAAAGGTGTGCATCAGGGTTGTATCCTTTTACCATACCTATTCAATCTGTATGCTGAGCAAACAATCCAAGAAGCTGGACTATATGAAGAAGACCATGGCATCAGGATTGGAGGAAGACTCATTAACAACCTGCGATATGCAGATGATAAACCTTGCTTACTGAAAGTGAAGAGAACTTAAAGCAATTACTGATGAAGATCAAGGACTACAGCCTTCAGTATGGATTACACCTCAACATAAAGAAAACAAAAATCCTCACAACTGGACCAATAAGCAACATCGTGGTAAATGGAGAAAAGATTGAAGTTGTCAAGGATTTCATTTTCCTTGGATCCACAATCAACACCATGGAAGTAGCAGTCAAGAAATCAAAGGACACATTGTACCGGGCAAATCTGCTGCAAAGACCTCTTTAAAGTGTTAAAAAGCAAAGATGTCACCTTGAAGACTAAGGTGCGCCTGACCCAAGCCATGGTATTTTTAATCGCCTCATATGCATGGGAAAGCTAGACAATGAATAAGGAAGACTGAAGAAGAATTGATGCCTTTGAATTATGGTGTTGGTGAAGAATATTAATATACAATGGACTACCAAAAGAACAAACAAATCTGTCTTGGAAGAAGCACAACCAGAATGCTCCTTAGAAGCAAGAATCGTGAGACTACGTCTCACGTACTTTGGACATGTTATCAGGAGGGATCAGTCCCTGGAGAAGGACGTCAAGCTTGGTAAAGTAGAGAGCCAGCAAAAAAGAGGAAGACCTTCAACAAGATGGACTGACACATTGGCTTCAACAATTGGCTCAAGCATAACAACGATCGTGAGGATTGCGCAGGACTGGGCAGTGTTTTGTTCTGTTGTACGTAGTGTAGCTATGAGTTGGAACTGACTTGATGGCACGTAACAACAACAATATTTGACATTTGGCATTGTTGATCACTTGCACCTTCGTACTTAGACGGTTGTCCTTCCTTAATATCCCTCAAATCCACTTTCTTTCCATCCCAATGTCCAGGCCTTGGCTGGGGCCTGCTCTCCCTCCAGAATATTCTGGAATGTTATTTCTATAACACATTTGACTTAGGTACTTCCCTGATTAAAAGTCATCTTTGGGCAGGGTCCTCAAGGCCTGTAGTTATGAACCTAGCATGCACTCCAATATGCAAATGTTTATTTATTAATTATATTCATGTACCAATGCACTAATATTATTGTTTATATTATAAAACAGACACACAAAAATAAATTCCCAAAAAGAGAATATTTACAAATCAAACAGAAGTTCTAATATTTTCTCTCTATATCCCAGTGGGGATTGTGTGTGCTTGCTTGGGAGAAAACAGACCCACTATATAAGTCCGAGCGCATATGCCTGGCTTTCAAAGTCTTTATCATCTGTCCTCTATTTACCTCTTTGGTCTGTTTTCCCTCCACCTGCTCCTAGTGCTTTGGTCAAACGGTCAAATTTGAGCTTGAAGGTCCCTAAACATACCTGTAGGTTTGTGCTTTGCATTTGCTGCTCTCTGTTTGGAATGTTTTCCCTTGCCTTGGTTCCTCAAGCCCCAGGTTCCTCTGTCTTACTCATACCTAAAAGTCATCCTCAAGCACCCACTCCTCTGGGAACGCGTTATTGGTTACTTCTGCCTCCGTAATCCATTCACACCCCATCCGTACGTCTTTTTCTCCTCAGTATTATACAATGTTATCTGTCTCTCTCATTAGGTTGTGAGCTGAGGGCAAAGCCTATCATCCATTTTTGAGTCCACAATGCCTGACAAACAATAACAATGACAATAATAATAACAAATAATTTTATAGTATTAATCTCTGTCAGAAGGAGCCCTGGTAGCATAGTAGTTAAGCACTTGGCTGCTAACTGAAAGGTCGGTGGTTCAAATCCACCAGCCACTCCACAGGAGAAAGATGTGGAAGTCAGCTTCTGTAAAGTTTACACCCTTGGAGACCCTCTGAGGAAGTTCTATTATGTCCTAGAGGGTCACTATGATTCAAAGTGATATCAACTCACCAGCAACGGGTTAATATCTGTCAGGCATTGCTGCAGGTGTTTTACTAATCCTGCGAGGAAGGTACAATTATTATCTCCATTTTGTGGAAGAGGACTCTCAGGCACATGGAGGTCGAGCAACTTCCCAAGGCCCCATATGCATTATGTGAAGTTCAGGAAATGTTGAACTAAACTGAACTGCGTGCTATCTACTACACCTGTGCTGAGAGAGCTATAGTCACCCAGGCTGAGATGGGCAAGAAAGTGCTCAGACTGAGGAAAAAGGTCCGTATGATTTCGGTGAGGGTCCTGGTGCCTCTTGGCAGCAAGGCGAGCTCATCCCAGCCTGAGCCTGTGCTGCCCCCTGCTGGCCAGCTCTGCCCTGTCTCCAGGCTTCGTTTCTCTTCCAGAGCCCCTGAAGGGAAACTGGGTCAGAAGTGTCTCCTGCCACCTGAGTCTCCTGTCTGAGGACAAGCACTGGATGTTCTGAGGAAGAAAGGGGGCCAGAAGATCACACAGGGAATATGTAAGGGTTTCCCTTTGATCTACACACCCAAGGACTGTCTCCCTTGTAGGGAATGGCTGAACGAAGCCATTCACAAAACCGAATTGGAAAAGTATCTTAGTTTCCTAGTGCTGCCATAACAAAATACCACCAAGTGGGTGCTTTAAAGAACAGAAATTTATTTTCTCACAGTTCTGGAGGCTAGAAGTCTGAATTCAGGCTATTGGCAGGGCTATGCTCTCTCTCTGTCTACTCTAAGGGGAGATCCTTCCTTGCCTCTTTCAGCTTCTGTAGCCCCAAGGGTTTCTTGGAGTTCCTTGTCTTGCAGATAGATTCTCACATGCTGTCTTCCCGTGTGTTGTGACTCTGACTCTGTCTGCTCTCCTCTTTTATAAAAAACCAGTCACATAGGATTAGGACCCACACTATTCTGGTATTACTTGATAATATCTTTAAAGAAAGACCCTATTTCCCCAAACAGGGTCACAGTCACAGGGATTAGGACTTCAACATATCTTTTTGGAGGACACAATTCCATCCATAACAGAAGGTAAAACCTCTACCCCTAAATGCCGTAGAATGCACACACACACACAAAATAATAGAAATGTTCATTTTTTTTTTTAGGTAAATATTTGGATTATTCTTACATTAGGCTCTCCTTTGGGATGGAAAATTGAAAACTAACATATTAACAGGCTGGTTCTCAAATAGTAGGTGGGTGTTACAGTGGATGGCTACGTTCCGTGAAAGCAAACCCAAGGTGCTAAATTGAGTCACCTGAGGTGGCTAGAGTTCGCTTTCCTAGGCACTTTGCAGAGTCGGCGAGGGGATTTTTAGGGTATACTGGGCACGGCAGACAGTCGTCGTCCCTCCCTTGGGTTTAGAGTAGCAAACCCCCCCACCCCGCTCCCCCTCACCACCACCCCCCCCGCAACCCCGCAGGCTGGAAGCGTCTCTCAATTCCGCAGGGCCCCGGGCGGTGCACCGCTGCGCCCCCTGCTGGCATGTGCGCTCGCCCCTCCCGGCCTGGAACGGAGGCAGCGCGTGTGCGCGTGCGCGCAGGTGAGTTTCCCTCCCCGCCCCGCCCCTGGGCTTGGCCACCTGCCCGGGAAACTTGTGGTTGGCTGTTGCCCTCGGGTCTCTCCCGGGTGGGGACTGGGAACCTGGCTATGGAAGAGCCTTCGGGGGCTCGCGAATCCAGGGCCCGACCAAGAGAGCGGGACCCGAACCGGCACCCCCGTCCGAACCGAGACCACCGCCCCGAGCGACAGCGGGACAGACCCGGGGACCGGCGCCGGGAGAAAGACGGGGACGGGCAGCGGGACGCGGACCGCCGAGGGGACTGGGACAGGGGGAGGGACCGAGACCCACGGCAGGAGAGACATAGGGTCGAGGGCCATCACCGAGATGAACAAAGAGCTTGGGAAAAGTCCCGCCAAAGCCGGAAGAGAGGCGGACCCCTGAGGTCAACCTGGGACGCAGCCCCGCCCCCCTGGCCCGAGCCTTGGGAAACCCCGGAGCCGCCACCAAAGAGGAAGGAGGGCCTGGGGCGTCAAGGACCAGACAGGTGAGGCGGGGCTGCTGGGGGAGTGGAGGCCTTGCAACCTCTGGACAGAGGAAGCCTGGGTCAAAGGCCAGACTGCCCTGGAAGTCGGTTTAAAGGAAAACAGTACCATTCCTCCCTTTTGCACTCCTAGAGGTGACCTGAGAGAGAAGGAGGACCTTACGGTGCCCCCACTTCTTGACTCGAACCCGATTAACAAAGAGCAATGTTTCTTAGCAGTGGCAGCGTCGGGGGATCAGGTAAAGAGGAAGAGAGGTCTTCAGAACAGGAAAAGGAAGGAGTGGGAAGGAGATTAGGTAGGTGGGGTTAACCTGTGGCTCCTCCCTGCCCTCTACCCCCACGTGCTCACAGGACTGCCCCTTGGGCACCAGATCCTTGTCCCGTGTTCCAAAATCAACTTTCCCCGACTTTCAAAGGGCTATTTCTTGGTGGCAAAGCCTGATAAAATCATCCTGATGAAGGGCTAGTAGTTTAATGTGTTACCCATCCCAGAGTATATGTATTTTAAAAAGACAACTAGGAGAAGCCACACTTTTAACCATAGAACTAAATCTACCTAAAACTCCCTGCTGAAGGGCAGAGATCCCCTTGGCCAGTGAAGTCTTTCTGGGCAGCCTCATTTAAATCCAATGATTGTTTGAGACCCCACCCTCCTGAATGAACAAATTTTGCCATCCCTGCTTGTAGAATACAGAGAGTTCCCATAAGCTTTTGTGAGGTGAAAGCATTATGATGTTCTGGAAGACTGTGAGCTAGGAAAGGATCTAGGGATGGATGCGAGGAAGAGAGATGTAGTCCCCCACCCACCACCACCTCTTAGGGAGTTGGTCATCTTTCCATCTAGCATTCCGTCTAATGCCACAAATATTATTAAATGCTCATATTATCGGGCACTGCAGACTGTGAACAGATGGGATATTGCCCTTGCCTGCTCAGAGTTTACGGTTCAACAAGGAGATGGACAGGTACTGGGGTGATTACTGATTTCTGCTTTTTTGACACCTGTTGTCTTCTTTAAGGAGGAGTCAGGCTCCTCTCTGCTGTGGGACTTGTACAGTTCTGCCAGTCTCTCTCCCTGTTGGGTGCATGCAGCCGGAAAGCTGCTATCCTGAGTTTATGTTACATTATCTAAAACCAACTAGAATGACAAAGGGTGTGCCCAGATACAGTCATAGGCACTATTGTTTCCCAACTAAAGCCACTTTGCATTGTAACTGTGTGACTTCTGGGAGAATCCAGAGCTACATTTTTAGGTTTTCATGGTGCCCTCGTGGTGCACTGGTTAAGAGTTCAGCTGCTAACCAAAAAGGTCGGCAGTTCAAATCCACCAGTCACTCCTTGGAAACCCTATGGGGCAGTTCTACTCGTCCTATAGGGTTGCTATGAGTCAAAATTGACTTGATGGCAACGGGTTTTTTATAAACTGGATACCCAGTCCCTAAACTCCCCCCCACCCCCATTCCTCAAAAGCTAGTGGAGGGAATGCTTTTGCTCACAGGCAGTTGTGTTTTGAACCAAAGGGCAATTTATTTCTGTCCTTCCTCCATTTAATGGATGGGCTAGCTATTGGGGAGCTTCAGAGACCTACTCTCAGGTATTCAGAGTGTGGTATAGGAGACTGACAGATAAATGGGCCAGTTGCAGTACCGTGTGAAACATGCCACTGCAGGGCTCCTGATTTTCCAGACCAAGGAGCCAGGAAAGTTTCCCAGAGGAGATCACCTCAAGGCTGAGTTCTGGAGAAGGAGTAAGAAGGGGTGAGGCTAGGGGAGGAAGATGAAAGATCTTCCAGAGGAATAGCTTCTGCAATGACCCAGAGGCTTGGGAGAGCAGGTCGTTTCGGAGAGGGCTGGGGCAGTTCACTATGGTGGGTCTTTGAGTGCAAAGATGTGAGTGCAAAGAATGGAGCAAGGGCCTCCTGTGTTGTGCTAAAAGCTTGGATTTTAATCCTAGTGCATGAGGGTTTAAGGACTTCAAACCCAAGAGAGACAGGAAGGGATCTATGTTTTAGAAAGCTCCCTGGAGCTCAGTGAGTAGAATGCAGCCCCCCTCCCCACCCTCCTCCCCCTCAGTGAATCTTGGACGAGACCCAGGATATGCCAGATAAAGGGGGAAAAGAAGGAACAGAAAGGACCAGGGCCGGCAGGGGAAGAGGGAGAGATCATATGAAGATGTCATATCATCAGTTGTCAGTTTATCACCCATATGCCTAGAGAATTATTGCTGATTCAGGTCTTTCCAAAGTAATAAGGGAAGAGTATGCCCTCTTGGGCATCAGAGTCTTGTGAATGCAAACGAATTTTGAAGGGGCCTAGTCTTGTTGAACTGAGAACTCAAACTGACAAAGAAGGTGGCTCACAGCCACCTGGTTAGATAGCTTCTACAGGCTGACCAACCATCATCATGGGCAGTCTTCGGTTTCCTGGATTACGGGATATGTCACCTGGTTAGTTTGCAGCATTTGAGCAAGTGCTAACTAATGTTCTGGGCCACTAAACCAGAGACTTCTCCGGCATATGAAATACTGTGTCGAGTTTTGTTTCTGTTCTGCACATTCTTTGATGTTTGGGCCCAGCCTGAGGAGCCAAGAGTTTTAATACTAAACAAGCCATTGAATTTGAGGTTCCCTAATGGCATGTAGGAGCCCTGGTGGTACAGTGGTTAAGAGCTCAGGCTACTAACCCAAAGGTCAGCAGTTCGAATCCACCAGCCACTCCTTGGAAACCCTACGGGGCAGTTCTGCTCTATCCTACAGGGTCACTATGAATCAGAATCAACTCGACGGCAACGGGTTTGGTTTTTTTGAATGGCATGTAGGAGCCCTGGCAGTGCAGTGGTTAAGAGGTCAGCTGCTAACCAAAATGTTGGCAGTTGAAATCTACCAGCCACTCCTTGGAAACCCCATGGGGCGGTTCTACTCTATCCTATACGATTGCTATGAGTCAGAATCGACTCAACAGCAATGGGTTTGCTTAATGGCATGTAAGGAGCCCTGATGGTGCAGTGGTGAACCACTGGGCTGGTAACCAAAAGGTCAGCAGTTTGAACCCACCACCTGTTCCGCAGGAGAAAGTTGTGACAGTCTGCTTCTGTAAAGATTTACAGCCTTGGAAACCCTATAGGGTAATTCTACTTGTCTTACAGTGTTGCTATGAGTTGGAATAGACCTGACTGCGGTGGGTTTTGGGTTTGATGGCAAATAAAGGAGCCTTGGTGGTGAGGTGGTTAAGCACTTGTCTCCTAACTGAAAGGTTGGCAGTTTGAACCCACCAGCCGCTCTGCAGAGAAAGATGTGGCAATCTGCTTCTGCAAAGATTATAGCCTTAGAAACCCTGTACCCGTTGTCGCCAAGCGATATAATCTTCACGGAAACAAACTGCCACGTCTTTCTCCCCGGAGCAGCTGATGGGTTCGAACTGCTGACTGTTCAGTTGGCAGCCGAGCGCTTAACCACTGCACCACCAGGGCTCCTTTGGAGACCCTATGGGGCAGTTCTACTCTGTCCTGTAGAGTCCCTGTGAGTCATTATCGACTTGACGGCAGTGGGTTTGGTTTTTTGGTAATGGCATGTAGGGAGTCCCTGGGTGGCACAAATGGTTAAGCGCTGGAATACTAATTGAAAGATTGGCAGTTCAGACTCACCCAGAGGTGCTTCAGAAGTAAGGCCTGGTGATCTGATTCTGAAAAGTCACAGCCTTAAAAACCCTATGGAGCAGTTCTACTCTGCATGTGTGGGGTCGCCATGAGTGACAATAAACTGACAGCAACTAACAACAATGGCACATATGTTTTTTGGTTATAGTGAACTTGCTTCTGGGAGATACGTGCTCTCCAACCCCAGGCCTGGACAAGAGGAAGTGGAATATTGCCAGTCAGAGGCTGAGGGACTCCTGGAATGTCACAAATGCAGATACCTGTGCACTGCAAGAGGTGAGCCATTTTGCAGGTGATTCGACCCCTTTACCTTCACTTTGGTCCTGGAAGGGGTGATCTTAGCTGGTGAAACAAAAATTCAAGCAGACTTCCCTTTTTGGTTCCTAGTATTTTAATTTCCATACTTGTGGGAGGTTTTTGTTTTCTTAAAAAAAAAGATAAGAATGTCTGAAAAGTGCTGCTAGATTTCCCATGCTTCTCCTCAAACATGCCCGGGGCCTGGTGAGGTAACTTTCAGGCTCCAGGTCGATCTGCTGTGGTTTGCAGGTAGAACTCCAGGTAGAACTGGCTGTGAGCTGCCAGCTTTTGGAGGGGGGCCTCGGCAAGGTGGAGTTGGATTGCAAGTCAAGCCACATGATCAAGGTCAGACAGTCCCCTTGGAGATCTGATCCCAAACACTAGATCGGTGTCTTTTAAACCTTTTTGACTGAGACTCAAGTAAGAAATATAATTTACATGAAGACCAAGAACACATACACAGGCACTGAAATAAAAATATGAAACAATACTTAGTCTATGACATACCAAGTGCTCTGATGTTTTCTGTTATTTTCTGTTATATTAAAAACAAACACAAAACAAAAACCACACTTATAATGATCCATAGTTTGAAAAACACTCATTAGGTAATATAGTAAAACCTGTGAAAGCCGGAACCTGTTTCAGAGAAGGAAGACTCAAATATTTTTCACTAATAGACAGTGATAGAAAAGTGGTAAGACTGCACCCTGTCAAAGGCAGAAAACCCACAAGACCTGGAAAAACAAAGCAGTATCATAAAGTTCTGGCTTTCACAGTATCATGTATCAGCTCCAAACGTGGCTTCCCAAGGCTCCCATCCTAGCACCTGGCCCTGGCCTTGCCAGCAATGAGGAAAATCTGGTTTGTCAGAGTGAGCCCTTATGGCTCACATGATTTGGTGAGACACTTTCTAAGCTGTGCATGACTAAGGGGGAATGCATCCCAGCCTCAGGGAGAGAAATCATAGAGCTCATACCTGAAAATGTATTTTAGGATGACTACACTGATGTATGAGATTATAGGATTACAAGGGACTTTCATTAAAGGGCTCCGGGCAACCCAGGTACAAGGATCCTCCCTCTAGTTTACATGTGTTGGCACCACCTCATTGCCTTTAGTTCTCTCAACAACTCCTGAGGCTCAAAGAGGTACAGTAAGTTACTCAAAGTCACACAGCTGGTAAATGAAAGAGCTGGAATTGAAAGTGAATCTGACTCTAAGGCCTGAAATGGCTTACTTGCCTGTCCTTTCTCCTTTTCTTGATGAAATAAATAACAGAAATAAGTCATAGACTGGTTAGCAGTTTTCTCCATAGAGAGATTGTTTTCCCCGTGATTGATTTACCAAGAGTAGAGAGCAGGGTTTGAGGCTTCTGACCAAACACACCTTGATTTAGCTTTGATTACTTCTGGCTATTTGGCTTTGAGCCTGGAGGTTGGGTTTCTGAGTCTAGATGGTGAGAGGATGGTTCAGCTGTGGAAACTGACAAATGAGAGCTTATAAAGAACTCTGGATCCACAGAAACACAATACTGCGTTGTTTCGAAAGAAACAGTCATTAAAGACCAGGAACTTGTTTCAAGCAGGAAATAAATGCCTAGATAAAGGTCACCAGAAGATTCTGAGCCTATCATCGAGTAGATCTTTTGTGACTTCCTTTCCTTATCAGTGAAATCATCTTCTCCTCCAGCAGACTTGTAAAAGTGGGAGTTTTTATAAGCGTTTACAAACTTGTAAAAGTGGGAAGCTTTTACAAGCTTCCTAAGGAAGCCTGAAGTTTGGGTCTGTGATTCACTCTTAGTAAGCTCGGTGAAACACTGAGATGACCAGTCAAAAGAGAGTGTCCCAAATTCACTTTAGGGGCATGACCACTTAGATGGTAAAACCTTTAGGGGCTGAATATAAAGATCAGACAAAAGGCTAGTGCAGATGTCACGATGCATGTAAAAGGTCACCAGGGAATTCTGTGTGTATGTAGCTTGTGCTCATCTGTTATTTGGACAGCAGGTGAGGAGTTACAAGTTCCCTGGTAAGAAGGCACATTTCCAGGCTCCCCTCCCTATCTCCCCCACTTTGCATTTGGAGCAGCTTCTTTTCCCTTTTGCCCTTTCCCTCTCCCCTTTAGATGCTTAGTGCCCAGAGGGGATGACGTGCATTCAGCTTCCAGCCTTAACTTAAAAAGTTTAATTTATTTTTCTCCCAAGAAAGTTGTAATCTCTGTAGTGAGTAGTGTCTGCCTCTCACTCACAGCCTTGAGATTTAGATTTTGAGAGTGTTTTAAGTTTGAATTTCAGAGGGACAGTTTCCTGATTTGGAACTTTAGCTTTGGAGGAGTTGAGACTACAGTCCATCAGAGTCAGGCGGGGAAAACAGCCGGCTTCCCACTGCCCAGAGTCCCTGGGTGGTGGCGAATGGTTAAGCACTGAGCTGCTAACTGAAAGGTTGGAGGTTCAAGTCCACCAAGAGCTGCCTCTGAAAAAAGGCCTGGTGATCTACTTCCAAAAAATTAGCCACTGAAAACTCTATGGAGCATAGTTCTACTCTGGACACACATGGGGTCACCATGAGTTGGAAAAGATTCAATGACAACTGGTTTTCCCACTGCCAAGAGCACTTGTAATCACGCTGGAAAGGTTCAGTGTGGAAAGTTGTGAATTTTTTTCCCCCAAACCTACATTCTCAATCCTCCTTTTTAAAATACTTATTTAATACCCTAAGTCAGAACTTATCTGGACTGAGCTTACTTCAAGACCTCAAAACACAATTGACTTTAAGAGTGTTAACACATTAACAGATCTGAATGATTGCGCCAGAGTCACAACAAAGGGAGCAAGGAATGATCTAAAATGAACTACTGGTTCTTAGGAGAGGGAGGGGTGATGACCCAGAGAGCCAGATTCCTTCAAGGGGCAAGGAGGGGCTATCTGTGTACATAAAAGACCTGGAGAGCCTCTGGCCCTTTTTTAAAAAAACTGATACTTTATTGAAAAAAAAAAAGATACATTTCCCCCAGCCTGTGATTCTTTTCCGTTTCTACTAAAGTTAAAACAGGAATAAGGTGTGGGCCCTAATCCTACCCACACTGATGATAAACTCTCCCATAGAGCAAAACGTTCAGAGAATGACTCTCCTTTACAGTGCAATTATTTAAACTGATTGTGGTATTTTATACATCTTTTAAGGAGTCTTGGTGCCACAACGGTTAAGCACTCGGCTACTGTTTGAGGTTGGTGGTTTGAACCCACCCAGATGCTCTTCGGGAGAAAGACCTGGTGCTCTGCTCCCATAAAGATTACCACCTAGAAAACCCTATGGGACAGTTCTACTCTGTCACATGGGGTCACTATGAGTCAAAATCGACTTCATGGCACCTAACAACAACATACAACATACATCTTTTAAAATTATGAAGTAGATTTATATTTACTGTATAGAAAAGTGTTTACAATATACTGTTAAGTGAAAAAGTTATGTAGTAGTAGGTACAGTAGGACTTTGTTCTTACCTAAAAGCAAATAAACAACAAAAATTGTGACTATAGGGAGTGAAAAGTCCAGAAAAAAATATATATAATGTTCATAGTGATTATTTTTTATCAGTTGGCTTATAGACAATTTTTACATTATATGTTTGTTTTATCTACTTTTTTTTTTTTTTACAATAAGTATGTGTAGCTTTTATAATCAAAGAAAACAATAAAGCTATTTACATTTTGGGGGAAAATTGTAGAGTGTAAAGGTAATACTTGAGAGTGAATAATTTCCATTAGAGATATGTAAACCAGCTTCAGAAATAGACCAACTGGAACCAGGCACAAAATCTGGTTCTCTGAACGCCAGAGAGATGCCGACAGCCATGCCTCACCAGAGAAGAAGTCAGCTAACACATCAGAACCATTCCAGCATGTACGATTTCCAGTTCAAAAGCACTCAGTTTTACATTATGCTGAGCAAAAGAAACCAGACTTAACGGAGTATGTATGATTGCATTTATATGAAATCACAGAAAAAGCGAAATTAATGTATAACAAAAGAAAGCAGAGCAGTGGTTGCCTGAGGAGGAAGGGTAGGGGATTGATTGCAAAGATGTACTAGGGAAGTTTCTGGGTTAATGAAAATGTTCTGTATCTTGATTATGGTTACACAGTATACACATTTGTCAAAACTCATCAAACTGTATATTTAATGTGGGTGCATTTTATTGAGTATAAGTTATATCTTAATAAAATTGATTTTAAGAAAAGCACCCAGCTTTAGTGGAAGACCTGGAGCCCTTTCCTTGTCCAACAGAAAGAAGCCAAGGGCCCTGAAAGAATCCAGGTCTGGGAAAATATTATAGCCCAAGAGATGTGCCCTTTAGGGGAAACTAAAGAAAACAAAGTTATTTACTGAGTTAAAATCTAAGAACAATAAAACAAATATGTTTCTTTTCTTTTTTAATTTGCCATTTTAACATTCTTCACATGTCCAATTTAGTGGCGTTAATTGTCATCATCATGTTGTGCAACCATCACCATTATCTGTTTCCAAACTTTTCCATCACCCTTAACAGAAGCTCAGTGTCTTCTAAGCAATGAGTCCCTGTTTCCCCCTCCCTCCTTCCCACCCCTGATAACCACTAATAACCTTAGGCCTGTATATACTTGCCTGTTCTAGATATTTCATATAAGTAGAAGCATATAATATTTATCATTTTGTGACTGACTTATTTCACTTAGCATGATGTCCTCAAGGTTCATCCATGTTGTAGCATGTATCAGGACTTCATTTCTCTTTATAAACCTGTTGCTGTTGAGTCAATTCCGACTCAAAGCAACCCGATAGGACAGAGTAGAACTGCCCCATGCAGTTTCCAAGGAGCACCTAGTGGATTTGAACAGCCGACCTTAACCACTATCGCTCTTAACCACTACGCCACCAGGGTTTCCTATTTATGGCTGAGTAATATTCAGTTGCATCCACTGTCTGTCAGTTTTTG